TCCTCCTCGGCAGACGTGCGTATCTCCGAGATCGATTGCAGACTGTAAGGACGGTAGATGTCCTTCTTTTTCGGCGGTAAGGAGAGCGCAGTCCCAGTGCTGGTGAAGGACATCGAGAGGCTCTTTCGCGGCGGCAGGCATAGCGATGTTGCGGCAGATGATGACGTTGAAGATGAGGACGATGATGATGATGACGGATTTGTAGCGATGACCGTTGCCTGATGCGACGGCGTTTGATGCAGGCCCGGTCCAGTCAGCACCGAAATCGGTAGCTCTTGCTGTGCGACTGGAGGCGGTGGTGATGGTACTACCGGACGCGCTAACTCCGCCGCGGAGCGTAACGTCGCGTATTTGGGCGGCTCCTCGTGATTAATCCACGCCTCGTGCGTATAACCTGCAAGAGGGAAAAAATTGATCAATCTATAGATACACAGACATAACAGAGAGTAGAGCGGGTCTCTTTCGTTCATTTTTCGCGATAATATTTATTTTTCTGAACAGCACATATTGAACATTTGAAGATCATACTTCTCAATAGACATTATGATTTGATTGTATAAGGTAGCTGTAAGCACGTCATTGCAAATATTATTTGCTGCCGTAAATTTTATATTATTTTAAGATTGAAACTAACGGAATAGCCCCGCTCTATTCTATTTTTTATTACGCTATGGGCTAAAGGCATTTTTTGTCAAACTGAAAATCGCTTATCATAAATACCATTAAAATCATTAGGGATACTATTTGCGCTTAAATACAGCAGTGATTTATTCTTATATGTCTTTTGCGAAGAAAGGAATAAGCATTTCAGCGCGTTCTGCGTCTGATTTATGTGTATGCTAAACTACTGCTAGTTAATGAGAAGTCGAGATGCATCATCAGCGATCCAAAGTCTGAAATATTGCCATTGATTTACTATGTATTTTTTTATTTTCTCAGAATTTATTGCTAAGATATTTGTATAAATCTAAGTTTAATTTATTCATGTAAGTCGTATCAAACGTAATATACGAATACATACATATTTAACGCTATAAATACTAAAAATTTTCATAATGGAAATAGATAGCAGCTGCTATCCAATTTATAATGTCCCCTTGAGAATTTTTTCGAATGAAACATCCAAATGATACAACGACGAAAGGGTAACGAAAGTGCGGTGCATGCACGTAGGTACATATAACATCTCACTCGTTCTCGACGGCATGAATATTCGAGTTCGTGAATCACTCACGAGTTGCGTGGCGTTTCATTTCCTGCGCGCCAGCTGTTTCCACCATATACGGTCATTAACGAGTATAAAGGGGACGAAAAAAAGTCGGGAGTGCAGGAGTCGGGTGCGCTAGTAGTGGTAGCGCGACACGTGAACTACGGGGGTATATAATAACGCGGTGCGTATCTGTTGCACGTCGCTCGCTGTTGCGCAGGGTTGTCCAGGGACGAAGAGCGAAACTCATATCGTTGTTCATAGACGAAGAGGCAATCGGGAAGAATTCAGGCGGAATACAAACGGCGTGTCTAACAACGTCTTCTTTCACTTTACTTTGCAGCATCATTATATGAGAATATCATTAAGTTATCACAATTAAAAGACCAGCTCGCGCGTTAACCATCAGGAATTTTCTTCCTAGATATCTAAAGTTTTACTTTATTAATTCTATTTTTTTTATTTATTTGATTAAATAGATTTATTAAAATGTTGAAATCCGTATGCACAAAACTAAAGCGACTTTTTCTCGAATTTACATTTTCTAAACTTCCGCCAATGATATTATGAGCAAGCATTTTCTTTCATTTGATGTATCAACTATGCTTGTTTAATATCAGTTAAAATTTCATATAAATTTTACGTAATTAAAATTTACATTAATCCATTTAATCGCAGTTCAATCCTAGTTTTTTGCATTATCTTCTGACTACTTATTAAGTCAATTAAAAGAAAGAAAATGATATAACATGATGTTATTATTATAACAATAATAGTGGAATAACAGTAATACATATTTAATCTCACTAATACGGGCAACTGAGAGTAATTCTACGCTGTTTTTAGTACGCCAAATTAATAATATAATTTGTTACTATACATACAAATTGTTTGTTCGCATGTGTTTCGTCTGTATTATATTCGACTTAATTATTTAAACGTTTCGGCCCCTTCCGAGCCATCTTCAGCAAAATAATTCATTAAAGTGTACCGTCGACAAAGTTTTCATATGTAAATACCGGATGAGCCTCTTCCAACTTTCCGATTGAAAGTGTACGACATTTCTTTGAACGCTATTGATAATAGGTATATTTCGTTAGTGGACTGTCTATCAATTATGAAGTATCGGTTTAGACTCATCCTTTGTCATCCTTGTACATATTGTTCGCCCTCAATTTGATATAATTATTCGTCTGATCTTTGATTTTGTGAAATTCGCAGTGTTAAATTTTTGTCACATTTCTGGCCGACTTCTGACAGGCTTCTGACAGTAATGAGAAAAAGAGTCTGACCGTTTATGTATCTGTATTATGTATGTAATAAATAATAAACATTCGCGGTTATTACGTTACTTTGTCTCAGAATTATGTTCTTTTTCATCAATATATTAAAACTTTTGTATGAGATGCTAATATATGCATAGTGTAAAAATTCCGTGTCAGATTAATGATTTAGTCCATTTGTTTATAATTTTATATGAAGCATTTCAGAAATTAGTCTTTTTTTATAATACTTTTCAATATCTAATATTTATACTTCCTCCCAGTCAAATTCGTGTAAATAATACATATATCTTTGAGATTTGTCGATGTTTTTGATAAGTTCGTATTTGTTCTAAATCACTATTACAATTCTTTTTATTCAGAATGATACTTTTTTCAGAATGATACTTTGTTATTAGTTATTGATGCCATTTAAATTCTGTTCGCGTTTCTTTTATTGCTCATGACAATGCAATAGAGCACGCAATGAGCGACTTTCGACGTTTTGCGCCATGAAATCGATACGCGTGCCGTCCAGCGAGTTACGTAATATGAATCCATACTGTGAGAAGTGAGGACACTATTACGCAGGGAACTAATGACTGTTTCTATATGTATCTTCAATATAAATGCCTCAACAATCTCAATTAAATTAGTCATTGTTACAGAAAGGTAATTGATTCAATTTTTCTTTGAGGTTAAATAATTATGCAGAAAAATGTTATACATGAATACTATATATTACAGGTAAAAGAGCAAAATGTATATATTTATATTATAAAATACAAAAAATTTATTATATAGTATATTTTAAAGTTAAAATTGACAATATATAACAACTAACAATAATTTTTATTAAATAGGAAATTTAATTACGAAGAATTTGTGCAACAGCTTTCTCCTGACAAAATTTATTTTTAGGATATCTACTGCTTTTTTAGCAATGACTAATTAAATTATTATTTTTAGGCTTGTATATAACCGTTGCCTTATTATTATAGAATTTGATAATAGTATTTAACGAACAGAATATTTTGTCTTGTTGAAAGCCAAAATGGTCTTTTATTGAAATATGCTTTATCGAAAAATTTCTTTTAATGAAAATTTGTTATATTTTTTTACATATTTAAAAAAAGATTTAATAATTAACAACTATGCGTTCCTTCTTTTTCTCTTCCAATTTAGCGTCTTACTTAAAGTTTATGAAGAATTAGCTAAAATACAAATTATTGCATCATTTCAAGCATAATTTGTCCAAATATTTTCTTCCTCCATTAGTTATACCTGATAAACCTCATATTTTGACATTTTTTAAAGAGAAAACTGCTTTAATTTTCAACAAGGAGTAAGATCACGTGCGCCTCTGTCGAACTGTTTCAGCAATGTGCTATTTTTCCCTTCGACGGACCCTCGCGAGGGTCTTAGGAGAAGGCGGCACTTGCGATAAATCAGAAAAGTGTGCTGCACGCGCGATCGATCAGTTGGCGCGTACCTATTATTGGCTGAAATAAAGGGAAGTCAACATAGAGGTAAAGGAGAACGGCCGTGTCTGCAAGTGCATTTCATCAACGACAGAAGGAGCGCAGTTGTGCGATGGGAAGAGAAGGAGAGAAGGGTGAACGGGTGTGCAGGAGGGTTGTATAGGGACGGCGGGGGAATCAATAACGGCGAATGAACGCTCCGCACGCGCTCCCACAAGTCCGTTGATTCTAGGCTCTTTTAAAGACCGATAAAAATCTCCGTTGCGTTTAACATTAACGCCGAGCTTTTCCTTTCGATCCGATTTTCTTTTTCTTTCCTCAAGCCAAAGATTGATGGATGATAAAAACGACGCGATAAGGTCATTAAAAATTAATAGGTTTTTACTATTGTTTATCAATGTTATTACTGTAATTTACATGTTTTATCAGTTTAGCATCATTGATCGCACTGTTTATTTGCAGATGCATAAGGTTTCAAAAAAGAAAGTCTTTATAAGAGACATATATATAAAAAAAAAGAAAAGAATGTAATCTGTAAGGTTGCGTTCTTAGAGGTCATTATTATATTTATTTATTGGCGTATAATTTGGTTAAGATATTATTGGCTGTAATATACTTGTTTAATTCTTTGATTAATCAAAATTTTTTTCGGAAAACTATAATTTACGGATTCACTATTTTCGAACTTTATTATTTTCGTGGAGGTATCATCCTCGGAAGAAAAATAAAAAAGATGTGCTTTTAATAAATCGAAGAGTATAGCTTTTTATTCAAAGTATTTAATTACATTATATTTATCGATATTGAGGTATAAATTCTGGCTCTATCTAATTTAAACATCTTACATTTAAAAAACATTGAAATTATGCAGAGAGAGCGATGTATAAAGTGGCATGGATTATCTATGACTTCTAGGTGGATATTCTATATCTACGTTATCTATCACAGATCACAGATATAGCCCATAAAGCATATTTATATACCTTGAATGAACATTCCGCACATTCCTGTCGGTTTATCGCCTCTGATCTTTATCGATCCTGTGTGCGCAAAACAAACAGCAAGTATAAATAATTATACTTGATCTATTAAACTATCTACATAATTAATAAATTAACATAATACTTCTGTGTGATTAAATTATTTGTGATAATGTTTATTCTCCCATCTAAAGAGAAAATAAGCGTCTAATGATGTTTATATGATGAATAAAAGAATTTAATACAAACAAAAAATCGAATTTTGACAAAAGATTCACACGCTTCAAGTAGATAATAAAAAATTTCTTTTCTATTCTACTGAGATATCCATCATAGATTTTTAATATGTTATAATGTAATAACTAATATATTATAATGTTTGATATATTATGTTTAATAAAAATAAAATATAAATATATGGACAATAAATAAAAATCGACCGATGAAATGTTAAACACAAATGAGTGGAAATTATTCTCAGTGTTTTAAAGATGTTTATTAGCATCAATAATATATATATATATTACATTGCTTGTCAATTTAATTTATAATATTACTACTCCAGTTTCAGTTTAGGACTGTATTTCAAGTCGAACAAATAATCGGCGCACAGTTTGCTTGAATTAAAAATTTTACAAAAAATATTATTAAACACAAAGATCCACCTGATCGAGAATAGCGTTTTCCACATATTCGTGATAAATTAACTCATTTGTAATATATGAATTTTAAAAATAGCAAATATCTACAACAGAATTTTAGTAATAAAGTTTGAGCTTATGGATGTAACTTTAACGAACTGTTTAGACTTTCTAATTAAATTATAAATTCACGATAAATTATGAAAAGATTAATAGTATAATTTCTCTCTAAGATATCATTTGCTATAAAAAATATCATTACCCTCGACTTTACTTCATAGAAATAGTAAAAAATATAATGAAATCGTATTATGTAATATATTATATTATCCAGTAAAAACAAGTCGTTAATCGTACAATGAAAGTCAAGGACGATGAAACCTTTTAATAGAGTCATAAGTCCTTATGCTTTTCTTACGTGACTGTAATTTTATTATCCTGTTAGAAATTTAATTTCTGCGATAATAGATAAATGTTTGATTTTCCTTATCACTCTTTTATTTAATATTTGTAAATGTGTGCAGGCATATAAATACATCTTTTAAGCACTAACAATTATAATGAAGTTTGTACAACAGCGAACACAAAATTTTTTATTATACCTACAAATTCAAATGTCGCAAAATATTCTTCAAATTTGAAAATTTCTATTAATTATTTATGATTAAAAACAATTACTTTCAGAAGTTCGTTGAAAAAATCAAGCTTGAATACATCTCTTTTTGACGAACATTGTAGCAAAGTCTTGGATAATATTAAATTCAACGTTGAAGGAATTGATTGACAAAATTCAATCGTAGTCACACATCGTGGCATAGCGACACGCAGAGAACACTTGTTACATAACAGCGTCATTTGCGCCATTGTACGAGCACGTGCGCACTGCACTGTCTATAAGCTGCATAAATGAGATAAAAAGAGGTCGTTACTCTGTAGTCTTGCCTTTCAAGAATACTTATAGGCGTTAGCTTCAAAGCGATTGACTGATTCGTGCAAAATTTTTATATGCCCTATTTTTATAGAATAAATTCATGCAAGTAGCGCAAATATGAATTTATAATATGAATATAAATTTACAACAATTTTTAATAATATTTTATGATATTTATGTTATTAAATAAGATCCTAATAAATCCTAAGTGGTAGGAAAAAATTTTTGCTACTTTTTTCTCTAAATTTGATAGTAAAGTTTTTTCAATGTATTTTATACGTGTATATGATAATACATTAAAATGTAATACGAAAAAACATGATATATTAAATTCTATATAATTACGTAATCGTACTAAATGTGCAAAAGACGGTTTTTAAACATTAATTTTTTTTTATTGCATAGTTTTAAATATTTAATATTTAAAAAAAATAAAAAAACTTGAAAGACATAAATTTCTATTAAATTTTTTATCTTATTAAATGAAAAATTTAATGAAAATTAAAAAAATATCTTTCTTAAGTTTTTTATTTTTAAAATTTTACTGTGTTATTTGAATGATTTAAAATTAAATGATATTGAATTAAATGAGAAATTTAATAAAAAATTTAGGAAATGTCTCTCAAGATTTTATATTTTTTTTTAATCTTGCAGTTATTGTATGATTTAAAATTATGTAATACGAAAAAATTAGTGATGATTAAGAACAGCCTTTCGCACATTTAGTATGATTACGTAATTTACGTATATGTACCTATATAGAATTCACGCAGTGTTACTGCGTAAAGTATAAATACAAAAACAAGCTTTCCGAAGAGTATTCGACAAGTCCTCTTGACCATAAACTGATATCGTAGGCGTATTCTCATCGGCATCTACGTCACAAAAGCAATTCGACCGTTCTGGACATGGTCGGTTACACAACAACCACCGACGTCAAAGCAGTCAATTTCCACCCTATCTGATTGAGAACTCAATAAATGCAATACGCGAAATAGCTGGTCTAATAATATATTGAGTTTGTGATTCAATGTTAAGGATGCCGAATGCTTGTCGATGCGATCAACGATCTACGAACGGGTGTGTCGCCATGTACGCATGTATTGTATGCAGACACATGGCCGACTTTGCGGGCGGTTTCCCACAGGTCGCGAAAACGCTCGCGCAATCGCGCACGATTCTATGACCTTCAACGGGTTTTCTTTTCGCATTTCCGACGGACCATCATGCTATCATAATTATGGCGCATTTAAACAGCTACCGCAATCCGACTATAGCGCACGCGGACTTGTAATAAACGGGTGTGTCACCCTGCATGCTCGACGTATGGTCGGATTCTGCTGTGTCATCTCGAAGCAGCGGCCTTTTCAGAAAAAATGAGAGAAAAAAAATGATGATTCTCGAACCCTTCCCTCATAGATCTCTTGCGAATGTTATTCCTAAAGATAAAATTCTTTGGTCTTGGGCGTGGCGCGTCTAACTTATATCCCGCAAGCGATATGTAAAAGCGAGCGATTCGCACGATCGCGTCACCGCATTGCCGCAGTATGAAGTGGGAAGGAAGAAAGCCTTCATGAGTTCGACTTACCGTGATAGTAAAGAGCGCCGGAGGCGTTGAGGGGTGGTGGACTGGGGGCCGTGGCCCCCGCCGTGGGACTGTGCGGTCCCCAGCAGGTCTGCTGATGATCGACCTGATGATTATCGACGTCTCCGACCACATCGATTTCCTCGTCCTCAGGTTCATGCCTGTGCGGCCGTTTCTCCATCGCATCCGCGGTATGATGTAGAGCGTGATGTTGCGTCTGTTGTTCCTGCAGGGCGGCTCCGAGTGGCGTCGCGTCCTTCTGCTCGTTCTGCTGATCGTCCACGCGTGCCTGCCACTGATTCCACTTCCACTTCTTCGCCATGAGACAGCGTGGCATAGTGATAACACGGATCCGTTGTTTCAAGGCCGCCGACACCAGGAGCTGGCGATGGTGATGGCCGTCGTTGTGATCCGGTCACCAGAAACGGTGGCCTCGACCTCGGAGTGGGACACCCACGCGGTACACCAACACCGACACGCTCAACACCAACAACCGCAGCACCAACCGCACCACCGACGTCGGCGTCGTCACGATCGACAACCGCGATTACGACGCGTCTGTCACCGTCGTCTGCTCTACCTACTGCTCCGCGGACGACGTCGTCGTCGTCGTCGTCGTCGTC